GAGTACAGGAATATAGGAATCGAGAAAAATAACATCAAGTCTCGGGGCATGACTAGAAGCGCCACTCGACTTCTCACAATCATGAGCCAAACTATTGTTTCCTTAGTTTATTTCTTAGAAGAACTTCAACCTACATATTATGTCTAAGATATTTTATTTAAATCTTTGCAGGTACGCTCGAGATCCAAATCAAATACTGAAGAAAAGAGGATACTCGTAGAAATATAGGATAGTTAGCTTCATGTTAAGATAACTCCACCGATCGAAGGTTGTACATAGCAAACATCGTCAAAATCCGTCAACCGGAGGCTGTACATAGCAAACATCGATCGAATTCCGCCAATTGGAGACTCTATATAAGCAAAAGAAGTAACATTCCGCTAATTAGAGACCACATCGTAGTGATGTCACCGAAGCTCCATCGACCGGGGGCATGCAAGCACAACGATGTTTTCATACACTAACAATAATATGTTACATTACAAGCTTTACAAAGCCGGATACAACCTTTTACTTTATAGCAGCCCCGCTAAGCAGAGGTCTACATTACAAGCTTTACACAGTCGGATATAGGCTTTACATTACAATAGCCCCGCCAGTCGAGGGTTTTTACATTACAAGTTACTTTACCTATATCACATTCACAACACAAAAATCATTTGGACATTTACACTCTACTCTTTACATTCCAATTTCAATTTATAATTTTTGAACCACAACAGGTACTTTTCACCTTTCTACATGTTTTGCAGGACAACGCATTACAACGAGGAACTCCCTCTAAGTAGCAAACTAGGGCAAGTTAGTGCAATGTCAAGCATTGATGAGTCCAAAAATTGAACTCATTTAGGGCTTTATTTTAATGGAAATAGTGTCCTTGAATGCTTGTTTTATCTCAATACTTGATTAAAATGTTGAAGTTTCAGGTATTTGAAGTTTTAGTGGAAGCATGGACACTTAGGTGCAAAACGGAGCAAATAGGGCTGAAAATAACAAGAAATGGAATCCTGCGGATCGTCGAGTTTAACTGGGCGAGTCGCAAAAAGACATGAACCGCCCTTCATTCCAGTACGTGATGCCTTGAAGGAAGTGGATCAAAAGGCAAGGAAAGGAGTAGTCGGCGAGTCGCCGATCAGTTCCACGAAGCAGTACTGTACCGCCTAATGATCCAGAATGTGAGGATGCTAAAGGCAAGACACTGAAGACGATGAGATGACCAAAAGGTAGATCACCGAGTTCATCGGCGATCTCGACTAATGTCGCCGAACAATCCTCCGTAGCACAATCTGTGAAAACTATAAATACTACTCCCTCCGTCCCATTTTATGTGGCAACATTTGACCAGACACGGAGTTTAAGAAATAAATGAAGACTTTGAAATGTTTACCAAATTGTCCTTTAAAAAGTACACTCACTTTTCTCTCTCCTCATAAATGTATTGGAGTATTATTTTAAGATTAAGTGGGACCAACAAGGGTAAAAGAGGAATTGCACCTTTAAATACTTACCATATAAGGAAAGTGACATTCTTTTTGGGACTGACCAAAAAGGAAATGTTGCCACATAAAATGGGACGGAGGGAGTAGTTAGAATTGTAGTATTAAAAGAATTTTTGGGGAGTGGAACAATTATTATTATTATTTTCACTTTAGAACAGACTTTAGCTGATATTTTTCTCTCAAGTTTGGAGAGGGTTTTGTGGAGACTTGAAGAAAGGAGTTATTCTTCCCCAAGTTGGAAGTGGGTCTTCTCTATTCATTTTCCTTTGCTTAATTTAAGGTTTAATTTCTTATACCCAGTTGATTTCATTATCATGTTAGGTATAATTTCTTATTTCTTGATGTGTGGATAAAACCCCCCATTCTTGGGGTGTGATTTAGCAAATATGGGTTGATATTCTTGTTGGGTCTTGTTTGTTGATAGGTTAGATGTATTTTAATGGTGATTTCACCTAGTGGTTGTGGTTTGCAAATACAAAGCCACCTATGTGTGTTCGGCTTGCCCGAGAGGGAGGTCGCGAAATCAAAACCACTAGACTGATGGCCTAAGGTGTGGGTCGACATGAGGTTCTGCCCAAGAGGGTGAGCCCTAGTCCCATATCCTAAGACTCAGCTCGAGAGAGAGAGTGGTGTAAGGCGTAGACTGGTCTTCATGCGGCAAATGGGTGTCCGTAAGGAACGCATTTGAAATGGGGTAAGTTGCCCGAGAGGGAACTTATTTTCATTTAAAGCTTAGCCTAGTCACTATTGTCTTACAAATTTCCTATTGAAAGCATGTACCCAACAATTTATCTCAACTTGTCTTGCGGTCACATCCCAAGAACCTTTCCCCATACTTGATTTTCGTGTTTATTTTGTTGTTTTATCGCTTGTTACAAAACCCTCATTTGATATTTGACACTTTCGTGTCACCCCCTTTTATTTACTATGTTTTTGTTCGTTAATATCTTTAGCTACGACTAGTTAGAATGCAAACTCTATTTTCTATCAATTCTCAAAATCGCTCCCTTGGGACACGACCCCAACCCTTCGTTGGGTTACTATATTATCGACGATCGTAGACACTCATGTCGTAGGATAGTGTCGTTGGTCACGATAAGCATCAAGGTCACGTTTAGAATGACATTTTTAATGTAGAACCTCTTTTTTGTTGTCTCTATATGTAACTTATTATTTTGTTACACTTCATATTATTTTCTTTCTCATACCTACTATCACTTTTACAAATGTTACTTATTTTTTTTTATATATAATTTATAAATTCATACACTTTAACATACACATTATTTTACTACATGTTTGCAACTCGAGTACTATATCATTTTATTTTATTGTATTTTATTTCACGTCTTAGTTCTATATATAAATTAAACAACAAATTTTTATACCCTTTGAATTCAACATTTATTTTGGATACATTTATATAAGACACATCTATATTTTAAACATATAAAATTGTCATACATTTTTAGTACATTCATTCATTTATTTTTTACCGTATGATAAACATACTACTATTAATTTTATTTAATAGACATACATATGTCGTACCTTGTATTTACTCTTTTCTTAAACTAATAAAATTTACTTACCATTGATTTTAAAGCAAATAAATAAACAAGTTTTCCTAATTATATTTTCCTAAATTGAGTTTAAGGACTATCTTCGGATAGGCTCTGAGGGATGCTTAATACCTTCCCCTCAAGTAACCAAAACCCTTACTCAGAATCTCACTGATTTCGCAAATCAAAATAGAGTTTACATTTATACATTGAAAAAATGGTTTTCCTAATATTTTCCTTAAAATTTAGGTGGCGACTCTAAAACAAAAATAATTTTCTTTCAAAATCAGAGTGTCAACCATATTATGTTGTGAACTGTTTCGACTAGTTCGAAATGGGGTGCGCGACAGTTAGCACGAACTATTTGTCATATAAATTGTGTGTTTGATTGATGTTGTGTTGTCTTGGGTCATGTCCACCATGTGCGAAGTGGGAGATGCAAGTTTTGGGTCATGGGTCGCCCATATGGACCGATCCGACCCAATCTGTTTTGCCCTATCCAATTTAATTAATTGGATAATCCTTTTAAAAGGATAAGGGAGAATAGTTACAGAGTAACTGTTCAACCTCCCCTTAAAAGATTCCTAGTGGGAGTTACTTTGGTGAACGTGGGAAATGTAAAAGAGAAGACAGAAACAAGAACAATAAACAATATCACTCTTAGATCAAAGACATCCAACAAAAAGGACATTTAGTTTGTGAATCAAAATTGGTTTCCTAGTGATTCAAAGAGGAACTTGAGTGCAATCCTGTCAAAGTAGCAAAATCAACGACTTCCGCTGCAAATTAAGGTACACAACTTATCAGATTTTGCTCTATATATCTTACATGAACAAAGCAAAAAAAAAAGGGTGGGGGATTAAGCTTAAAATGAAATCATGATTACCTTTCAAGCTTTCACTAATCTATGGTGATGACAATAATAAGGAGACATGAATAATGGAAGTAGAATCAAACGAGGTGTTCTTTTGTTCGTTTTTAGCAGCTTTGTGTGGAGATTCGAACCCACACCTACAATGTGAGCAAGATAGCCTCACACCACTCTGGGCCGCAACATCTTGATGTGTTCAAAGTGTCCAACGTATTAAATTTAACCGTTACATATAATATTTTACTTATGTATATGGTATAATTTTCTGGCGAAGAATGTCCAATTGGACACTCTCGGAACACGGTAGCTCCGCCACTGCCTCACATCCATCACTAGTCATGGAAGATGGATCAAAGGAAAAAAAATCAATTTCTAGGCTTTTTTGTCAATTTGAATTTCCAAGTCAGTAAAAAACATTGTTTTATTTGATTTTTAAGGTTGAGGGGTAAAATTGAATCAATACATTAGCAATAAGGTTATTTATTACCCCAAAATCAAACGAAGAGTATATTGATCCATTAGTTCAGAGGTATTTTTGATTATTTTTCCTAATTTTTAAGTATAGTTATTTACAATAAATATATACTACATTTTTATTATATCATGCAACTTTTTCTTACTTATACCATGTCATAACTAAACTATACTCAACAACATTAATTTATTTTTAAAATAAAAATAAATAAGCATTAGTTTTATAGTATTTCAGAATTCATTGTAGTATTCAAAAGCTAAAGTTATACTTTTTGAGACATGATCATTTTCACTTTATTTGAAATTTTTGAAATTGGAGTTTAAAATGAAGTGTTTGATTATAATCCTTGCAAATAATATTTAATTGTTCGAATATACTTCTTTTTTTAAAAAAAAAACATAACAAAATAACTTGAACTAAAATTTAGAAAAGTATAGTGAAATGAAAATAAGATTTTAGGTGATTTTCAAATTCTATATACAACTGTATAAGTGAAAAAAATCCAAAAAAAAAGGTGAAAGATTCTCAGTATCCTTCCTGAATAAACATCATCCACTACCGCTACCAGATACCCTTTTTTTTTTTAGGCAAAATAGAAAGAAATAAAACTACCAAGTGTACCATAATGTAAGAAGTAAGATGGAAACCCATCCTTGGAGTTCAACGTCCATCCACTTGACTTAAGCGGAAGAAATAACTAGTGACAAAAAGTGTAATTTTGCCAGAGACCAAATAATTCAGTATCTAACTTATCAAAGAAGCAAATAGAACTAATAGATAGCCTAACATTAACAGATCCTTAGAAGTTTCCTCCTCCATACTTGAGCTAACGTGAAACAGTGCATAGCGACATCGTGAAATCACAGTTCACTATCAGTTGTTGTTTTCTTTCCATTCACAGCAACCAGCTCAGTGTCGAACACAAGTGTTGCACCACCTATAAGTTTGAACAGATATAAAAATGCAAGCAATAAGTAAAATGAAACTACATTGTCGAAATTATTAATGAATTTCTTAATAGACAAATATGTGCTTATGATCCCAGTATAGCGTTTCTCTAGTTAACAAAGGATAGATGATGTAGCCGTCATCTGAATTTAAGTAGGCACTAAACCCACATGATGAAGAATACGACATAATGCCCCTCCCCCACCCCCACCACCCCCTACCCGCTCAATAAAATATACATGTCAATCATGGAGATCAAGCCAGTTACTAATCCAGACAGACACAAACTGACTTCCTTTTACATAGAAATCAAAAGCAACGCCAACAAAGAAGAATTCATTCTGGCGAAGACAGAACTTCACAATATTTGAAAAAATTCTTGAACATTTTTTTGAAGTTTTGTTTATTTCCAAGTTTTTGCAAAAAAAAAAAAAAAATTAATAAAAAAAAAGATTTCTGAGTTGACAAATTTCCCATTTTCCAGATTCACAAAAAAGAGAAAAATTCACCAAACAAACAATTTTCTGAAAACCTAAAGAGATTTTGTGAGAAGCAATGCAACCAGATTGAGAGTACATTTATGGCTAATGAAGCTACGCTATTAAAACTATTTGTTCAGAATCAGAAATAGACACCACAAAAATAGTTAACTAGGGTACAAAGGATAATGTCCAACACTTTACACTTGTGATCTATAGCTTTTAGCTAATGCTTTAAGCAGAATTTCTAAGCTACTAGAGAAGAGCTGATGTTACCTGGGATCTTTGGTGGAGATCCACTCTCACCATAACCAAGTTTAGCAGGGATTTTCAACTTTCGCTTCTCTCCCACACACATTCCAAGAAGTCCTTGATCCCAACCTGCAAAGCGACATTCAGTATCATATAGCTTGTATCTCTGTCAAAATCTCTGTGTCCATGTCCTTAAATATCACCGTAGACTGTTATCATATTAAATGAATTACATAAAAGGGATTTCAGAATAGGGAAGCATAGATCTAGCTTATAGGAACTTATACTATAGGCTTGCTTTACTTCATGAGTAGATGTGTTACCTTGAAGAACAGGAAACAAAAAAAAGAGGTTCTCATACTTCATGAGGAGCCAAAGAACTCATATCCCTCATATCATTGAAAAGGCACACACTTTTTATGGTGTTGTGATTTCATTTTGTCAGCTTCTATTTACAATGCTGGCTCTTTTGCTTTTTTTCTTTTCTCTTGCTAAGTAACAGACAAGCTCCTTTTTTCCAACTATTTACTTTGTTGTGATGAAATAATCCCTTTGGAACGTGTTTGGTGTATTATAAAAAAGATTATTACACAAATCAACGGAAAAAGGTTTACTGTCCAAGGTGTTTTGGGTAAATTTCAAATCGCAAGCTCCCACAAAGTATTAAAAAGCCAAATCATCTTGAAAAGCAAAAGACAAAAGCAATAAGCCATCTTTTGTTTTGTAAGCGCTACACCCATTATGCATGCAAATATTCATGCTTATCATTGTCAAAAATTAAATGGCTTTTCGCTGAGATTCTAGCTCCTAATATGCTTCTCACAACTGCAGCTAGCTACCATAGAGGGAAACCATTAAAGAAGAAAAAGAAAAGGCAAAAAATGCACCAATGCAATGATAACATGTTTGATAGTTCCAAAGGATTAGAAATGAATAAATGATGTAGAATGAACATTGGTTAAAAGAATCACAAACAAACCTTTAATCACTTGACCGCTTCCAAGTTCAAATTCAATGGGGTCATTCCTCTCGTAGCTGGAATCAAATACAGTTCCATCTGTAAGTTTTCCCTGCAGGCGCATTAGGATATAGAGTGAATCACTTCGACGTTACCTCTAGTTTGAAAAAACTAAATCAATCAGACTCTTCCTTAAAAAATACAAGGAACCTCGCTGCAACCCTTTCATGTTTGTTTCATCAAATATCCAATGCTAATGCTCACACCCTGATTCTTTGACACATGGCATTTCCTTCATACTCCCTCTATTCCAGTCTATGTGACACTATATTTAGAAGCAGAGGAGTATCTTTGTCACATGACATTTTCTTAACTGTGGGAGGTGGATGATGTAGGGTACAACAGTTTAAGGAATAGGAAATGTCTAGTAGAAGCTCCTCTTTGATTGGACATGTTACAATATCATGACTGAAAAAGACATTATCTCTAGTGTAAATGATTCGTCCTTCCCTAAGCTTGCCAAGGAATATGAATAAAAGCAGATGAGAAGGGGGGAAAATCTGAATAATCAAGTGAAATTTTTCTCCTTCCTAGCCCATTCTTAAATTCAAACCAATATGCATGAATATAATTCTCCAACATAATTGACAAAAGAACTCCAGTTATCAAAGTAAGGATTGCTCTTTTTTGTTTTGGATAAAGGTAAGTAAGGATTGCCTAAAAGGAGTGAACACAATAATTTATTAATCTATCAGTAGGTATTTAGAAACACTTCAGTCCTATGGGTAACTTTCCCTCCATCCACAGTTCGGAGCTTTTAAATAGTTAAAGTAAAGAAGCACTTCTACTCACACTGTAGTGTACTGAGACTCTATCGCCCTTGTGAGCCTTAAGTTCGCAAGATGCTGGCTTAAACTGCAACAGATGGACAAAGAAAACAATAGGTTAGTATTTAGACTACTGAATCACCAAATGAAAGAGACATACAAGCGTTACTATCATCATCACGAAACCTAAAATATTGATGACTCTACAAAAGCAATGTAAACATTTGAGAACCAAAAGATACTAAGATTTCATGAGAGTATCAATAAATTATGCTTTTCTCCAGATAGCTGCGACACTGGATTTGATAAATATCTTCCCGACTTCATTCAAGGAGAAGTTCAATTTCATGGACACAACAAAAAAGTTATTTTACTACATATGGATCACCAATACATTCAGTAGACAAATACTCCGTGAGTGATAGCATGACAAAATGTATTTATTTAAATGAGGGACAAGTATGAAATGTAAGAGATGCGTAACAGATTAGCTATTCTCTCCTATCAACCAATTGTTCTCTGTAATACACCTCGTCATCAAAGCTAACCACCATAAGAGACTAGCTTTTCATTCTCCATTCATGCTTTCTATCTACACAGCTCACTGAGAATACAGTTGATGTGTACTCACACCTAGTGAGGGGTTTCACTCGAACCAATTAAAGAACCACAACTTCCCCCTCTCCGTGTGCGCAGATTCACTCTATACAATTCTGCTAGAGGTAACAGTATGAAGTACTTATGATTCAATTTTCATCGAATCACTAGTCTAAAGACTAATGTTGAGTGAAATGACATTTGCAATCTAAAACTATGCTCTTCTTCATATTTTTAAAAAAATTTAAATGCCTACAACCTAAAACTAGGTCAAAAGCAAGAGATCGCGAGGTTCATTCTATAGGAATTAGAAATATTAGCAATTTGCAAAATACAATACTCCACAATTAAATTGTCACGTCAGGAAGTCATATGAAACAAAAATGGAGAGCTCTCTTTAATTATAGAAGTTCAAACAAAAACGAAACTACAACGCAGTTCATTCTTCAATCAGTTCTACAATCATGAATCGAAGAATAGAAAAAGGCCAAAAGTTTTACCTTCACACCGATCTGCAACTCCGTAACATCGCCGGACTTCTTAGCGGAAACTGGAAAATAGAAATCGAAACTTAGAACGTTTGACTTAGTATTTCATTTTCAGTTCAAGAGAAACCTTAGCGCATTTACAGATCTCATACAAAAATCAATAATATTCAAATAGATTACCTAGAGTAACAAGAAGAAAAACAATGAAAATTGAAGTGGCATTGAATGCGCGGCCGAATTCCATCGTCGATTCTGTTTCTACACACTGCAAAATCTCCTCCTCTTCCCTTCTTTCCTTCTGGTAAATATAAGGGTAGATCCACAATAACCCACTACAGATCTCCGACGTAATAAAAGAACAAGAGGACCAATCCTTATTTGCCACATCATCAGCCATGCTAATGACTGTACAATGCGTCCACGTCATCAACTTTTTGGTGGGAAAATAATGAAGAGTACGGTGTCGTTTTTTTAATTTTAAGCAAAAGGCAAAAAAACTACTCCTACTATGGAAAGTTGGCATAAACGCTCTCTCGCCATGCCATACATTCTCTGCTTTCCTTCCTTAATTCAAGCATTGAACAGAAATCCAAACCCTTGTCCTCTTTCTCCTCTCTCACAAACCCTAATCGCCCGAACAATGAGGTGAGAGAAAAAGAGAAAGGTATGCTACAATGGGTAAAAAAAGGTACAAATTCTATGAAAAAATCCCCTGCTGCCTCCTCTTCTTCCTCCTCATAGCCGTTGCCTCACCGGATGAGTTATCCGTCGTCGTCCGTGATGGTTCTGCCGATGATGCATCTGTTATGGCTAAATTTGCTAGGTCTCTTATACCAACACCACCTGGCTGGTCAGGTACCAATGTATGTAAATGGTCAGGCGTCTCATGTGACTCTTCAGGCAGAGTTTCTTCAATTAGTCTCATATCAAAATCTCTAGGAGGTCAACTACCACCAGATCTTAATCAACTTTCTAATCTTCAAACCTTTAATATCCAAAAGAATCGCATTTCCGGTTCGTTACCTTCTTTATCAAACCTTCCTTCTCTTCAAGATGTTCATCTTGATTCCAATAATTTTACGTCTGTTCCAACTAATTTCCTTTCCGGACTAACAAATTTGCAGAAGTTTAGCATTGATGACAATCCTGGTCTTCCTCCATGGACAATTCCTGATAGTTTGACGGACTCAACGTCCTTGGCTGATTTTTCAGCGTCTAACGCAAATATTATGGGTCAAATTCCGGATGTTTTTGGGTCATTTCCTAGTTTGGAGAGTCTTAGGCTTTCGTATAATAATCTTACGGGGTTCTTGCCGTATTCTTTTGCTAAGTCTGGGATTCAAAACTTGGTACTTAATAATCAAAAGCTTGGGCTTACAGGCAGGATTGATGTTCTTGGTTCTATGGAACAGTTAACTCAGGCTTGGATCCATGTTAACAAGTTTGAAGGGCCAATTCCTGATCTTTCTCTTTGTATTAATTTGGTCGATATCCAGCTTCGTGATAATAGCTTAACTGGAGTGATTCCTCCTTCTCTGACTTCCCTTCCTAAGCTAACTAACGCGTCTTTGCAAAATAACATATTTTTAGGCCCAATTCCTGGTTTCAAACCAAATGTCCAGGTGACCCTTGGAAACACAAACCATTTTTGCAATCCTTTTCCAGGACCATGTGATCCACAGGTAACTATATTGCTTGATGTTGCTGGAGCTGTGGGTTGTCCGATGATACTAGCTGAGTCTTGGGCAGGGAATAATCCTTGTAAAGGTTGGAACTATATTACATGTGATGCGAAGGGAACTGTGACTGTTATCAATTTTGCAAAACAGAATTGGGTTGGTACAATATCTCCTGCTGTTGCTAATCTCACCGGTCTCAAATCATTGGTCATGAATGATAATAATCTCACAGGTCCTATTCCGGTTAGTCTCACCAGTTTACTAGAGCTGCAGCTTGTCGATGTTTCCAACAACAATATTTCTGGCAAGATCCCAAAATTTCGTTCCGATGTCATACTGAAAACGTCTGGTAATCCATTTATGGGGAAAGATGTGCCCCTAAATGCTCCACCTGGTGCAAGACCAAGTCCAAGTTCGTCGACAGATAATAATTCACCTTCTGCTGCCAAAGATGAGCATAAATCCTCCTTCTCTACATGGATCATTGTTGCTATTGTTCTTGCTGTTGTTGTCTTAATCCTAGTTTTGTGCCTGGTGATATATAAATACAAGCGTAATGGAAAATCAAAACTGAATAAAGGCAAGGAGCAAAAATTGAAGAATGGTTCCTCTAAAAATATGAAGGGTTATGGTGCAATTCCAAGCACGGCCAGTCAAAGTGATACCTCAAACAGTGAAATATATGTATATGATGGTGGGCATGTAACTATCCCAGTGGAACTTCTGCGAGAGGCCACAAACAATTTCAGCGAAGAAAATATATTGGGACGTGGTGGTTTTGGGATTGTTTACAAAGGTAGACTCCATGATGGAACAGAGATTGCTGTGAAGAGGATGGAAGCTTCTATAGCAAGTAACAAGGGTCTAACCGAATTCAGAGCTGAAATTGAGGTACTCACAAAGGTTAGGCACAGACACTTAGTGGCACTTCATGGGTTTTGTGTCAATGGATATGAGAGGCTTTTAGTATATGAGTACATGCCACAAGGGACATTAGGCCAGCACTTGTTCGATCATTATCAACTAGGATTTCTACCCCTCACTTGGAAACAAAGATTAACAATAGCACTAGACGTTGCTAGAGGGGTAGAGTATCTGCATGGTTTGGCACAACAGAGCTTCATACATAGAGATCTAAAGCCTTCTAACGTACTTCTTGGGGATGACATGAGAGCTAAGGTCTCCGATTTTGGATTAGTTAAAAATGCACCTGATGGCAAGTACTCGGTGGAGACGAGGCTAGCAGGAACTTTCGGGTATCTTGCACCAGAGTATGCTTGTATGTACATCACTCCTTTTATATTGCATGAATTAGTTCAATTTAACCCTCTGACTTACCACAGGAAAAACAAAGGAACTATATGTCTAACTCATTATAATTTGATGATAAATTTAATGGTTAAAATGCATGACTAGCTTAACTATCCCTAGTAAAATGAGAATTTCATAGTAGTATTTGATTAGGAATATGATTATACTATATATGTTATGTTTACACATGATAACTATATATTCTCATGACATCTCTGTCTTTTGTTGGAACTAGCCACTGGAAGAGTAACTACGAAGATTGATGTCTTCGCCTTTGGAGTGATATTGATGGAGATTCTCACGGGCAGAAAAGCACTTGATGAGAGCTTGCCAGAAGACAGAAGTCATTTAGTGGCTTGGTTTAAAAAGACGGTTGTGAACAAAGAGAAGATTGTAGAAGTGCTAGACCCGACCCTCCTAGATCCAGATGAGGAAACTTACCAGAGCATATGCAAAGTAGCAGAGCTAGCAGGACATTGCGCAGCTAGGGAACCATCTCAGAGACCAGATATGGGCCACGTGGTGAATGTCTTAGCTCCTTTGGTAGAGCAATGGACTCCCACTGCTGCTGCTGGAGGTGATAGTTTCAATATTGACTTCACTATGAGCCTTCCTCAAGCCCTGCAAAAATGGAAAGCTAATGATGATTCCATGCTCTCTGAAGACACGTCGTATGGTGACTATTCCGCATCCACAAGGACTTCACAGTCCATAACAGCAATCAGGAAGGTATCAGAGACAGACAAAAACACATTTAGTTATACAAAGGAACACCAGTGAGTGATGTAAACATACTTAAAACTGTGACGAAAAGAAGTGTATATTAATACCAAGGAACTGATAACATAGATATGCACCATTCTGTCTCATTTTCCGCTCATAGAATCTATTTTCTGCTCAATTATGGACCAGGTAGACATTTGGATTTTATAATAGATTCCTAAAATTTGGATCTAAAATCCTCTCTATCGCTATCAAAACTTAGCTGGACCAAAGCGGACGAAAAATAAGCCACGAAAAAACATAAGAAAGACCTAATGAGCTAGTGAAATAGAGCACAGCTGCAACTTTTCCGATAAAAGATTTTCTCTTGGTTTGTCCTCTTCTTCTATAGATCCATAGCTCATACACAAAATTGAATCTGAATTTATGGTGATGGGGTGATTTTTGATGATGATATCTCATAAAATATTAGTGTGTGTAAATGGAATATACTTGTATCAGAAGTCCTTTTTTTATATGTGATACATACATGATGCATATACGTTATCTTAATTGGGTTGTATCAGAGTATCTAGTAAAATTGAGAATGTGTATCCAACAACATTGATAGTTTGTTAATACCTCCAGATGAGTGTTATATTTGATATAGAGTGACTTGTCTTAAGATCAATGTATTTAGCAAAATTGAAAAAATGTTGGTACAATTAAGTTGAGCAAATTGATATAGTATATCCAACTAAACTAGACAAACATATACAATAAAATTGAGCAAACAAATATAGAGAAATTGCTGTATGAATGATGCAATACGAATTTTAAAAGGCTATATCAATGATACAATGTGAATTTACGTAAATTTCAGAAGGTTGTATTTGAGATACAATGCGAATTTCAGAACTGTTTAAATGTATTGTAGTTATCAAAAGTATTGTCATGTATGGTAAATTAGTAACAATGTGCCGCTAGTTGTGAAATCTCTTCTATTTTTTATTCATAAAAATGTGGACAAATATACGCAAAATATGGGTATTCATATCGAAACTCACTTTTGTAATATTCAAATTGGAGGTGGCAAATGGACGGTTTCAACTAAATTTGCACAGGTCTGAGTTGAATAAATAAATTGGTCACTGCCGAACTCTGCCCAAAGCTTACATGCATGAACTGAGATACATTAGGTCAAGATGTGCTAAATAATGGGTCATAACTCAATCCGTTCAATTTCATCTATTATTTTTAGGGCAAACAATATAAATTTCACTAGTTAAATCATAATTACTAGGAATTTTGATAGTTCTATATATTACTTTCTATATCATTTTCGGCTATAGGATACATGTATCCATCAGGTTTAAAAGGTCGAGATACATGATTTAATACTTTTGAAATAAATGTTATAACTTATTTCCTTAATTAAAGTAGTAACTTATGGGAAATTTACAAACAAAACGGATTTGAATGATCCTTCCATATTAACTAACTTTCACATATAGCAAACATAAAAATCACATTTGTATATTATAATTATAGTTTGCATAATTGCGCTCCATAACAAATTTTATGTTTGCTATGGAGATTTTGATTTGTATAATTCGCTAGATACATCC